AGCATTCAGAAGTTTTCACTTTTTGATGGAAAGAATTTTTCTTTGAAACATTTTCTCTTCTGAACAATATGCGAGCATGTATAAGAAGGTTTGAGAGTCAAAATTCAATGCGAAATCATTCAAAAACGTATCATAGTTTGGCCGTAAATTTTAAGTGTGCTGTTCGTTTCTGCATTCTGTTAGCTGGTTTCGTTTCGATCGTTCATTATGAATATTAAGGTCAAAAGTTTATGGCTGATATGATGCCAAAAGTGAGTAAAATTCGTGAGCGTCACCCGTATTTGAATGTTCAAGTGGACGGTGGGGTGACCGTCGAGAATGTGGAAATATGCGCGCAAGCTGGAGCGAATTTAATTGTTTCGGGCACCGGGGTCATTAAAGTGGCTGATCAAAAGAAAGCTATCCTGGTCAGTTACATCGTTCTCTTCTCATTAATTAGCCTTACTATTAGTCGAATTGTTGGATTTGCTAGTTTCAAATCTGAATCTTGAAATTTAATGAAGATTTGAAAATAACTGATAAGCGTCAACAGAAGTGAGTAAGTTAAGCATACGCTGAAATGTTCCCACTTTCATTAATTTCCGTTAGCGAGTGAGCGATCGCTTGCGAGGTTCGTATGGTTTCGTTTACGTCATATGTCGGCTCTAACCGATAAAATCATTTCAGGAAATGCGTGAAAAAGTTTCATCAGTCTTTCGAAAGTAACTGAATTCTGTGTGGGGCGAGAATTGAATAATAAAAGCTGATAATGGTTTTATGTGATGTGCCTAAATTAATTGATTGTTGTAATTTTGTTCGATTTTCTCGTATATTGAAAAATTTCCAATCGCTTGTTCATTGCTCGCATGCGTCATTTCTGTAGTATGGATTATTGATCGTAAGTAAGTACAACGGATAAAAATCATCCTTCTTGATAATCACTCCTCATTCGTTTGAAAGACGAGATCAGAAGTGTGAAATTGATCGATTTCTTTGTCTTCCTATTACGTGATTCATTCCCCGTCCCTTGTTCATGTTTCTGCCGAAATTTCGAATTCGAGCATGATTTTTTCAAGTTATTCCATCCATGCACAATCATCATCGGTGACATTACCAACAGTCTTCAAAAATTTTTCTTAAATACTTTGCTTTAGTCCCGTTCTGACGTGCTGCCATATCACAGTCGCTAACCTTTCGTGATCATTATATTTCACTAACTGATTTCGAATGCCTTTTACTTTAGGACCCAGAATTCATTAAAAACAAAAGAACTGTGAGATGTCTTTCTTATCAGCCAGAAATGATTCGTTCTTTTTCTGTCTTGAGTTGATCAAATGTCAAATTTCTACTTATTCAGCAGATTTGTATCTTTGATTGCGAAAATTAATGAATCAAGTTTTGGCGGAATAAAATAAACTTCTGAAGGTTTTCTTATAGTATTTGCAAGAGTAGTCGCTCATTTCCTTGCAATTCTCAAATCAGCAACTCAGCAAACCAGATAGAATGCAAGATTTTGATATGTAACCCCGCCCACGGCGTCTGAGGAGAAACCGAGGTTCTTTCGATGACACACTGTACACAACGGAAAAATTGAGCAGAAGTCATAGACGGCAGCTTTTTCTGTGCAAACCCCTAACTGTTAAACACTGATGATTATTCAAGCCTCCAGATCTCATCGTGGGATTCACCCTAGTATGGATTAAACGACACACTATAAATGCTTTATTCCTTTTTGCTTTTCCATCCCTACTCTGTGCTAAACGACGTTTGAAGAATGGTTTTTCATGAACCCTGTTTCCTTTCAAGCGAATCCATCACCCTAATCGAGTGTCATACCATCATGTTTTCCGAAACCATCTAATTCACTCTTCCAAATTNATCGATATTTCGAAACCTTTCAGTTTCAAGTTTTTCTTTCCTAACTACGATGCAAGAAACAGTGGTAAAATCACAACCTACACAGCAGTTGAATTCCTCCAAACTTACTGGTATAAAACTACACTAGCTGCCGTCACAACAACTCTAAACTCATTAAAACAGTAGATGTCGATAGCTTGTATAATGTGTGGTAACACGTGGAAAAACAT